GTAGCCTCCGGAACCTTCGTTGGAGCCTATTGCAAGCCCCTTGGATGATTTCCTTTGGTGGGCGTCTCGGGGCCTCTGGGCCTAGCCCGGCCTGTAGGGTAGGCTCGTTGAGCCGGCCTTCGAAGTCGGCCAGCCTCTTGTTAAGGTAGAGGTCTAGGGGAGGGATCCAAGTTTCCGTCTCGAGATTCCGTATAGGGGTAGTCTTATAGGCCCCGGCTACGATGCGTAGGCTTCGGTTCTGGGCCTTTGCTAGGTCTCTGGCTAGGCCTTGTGGTGAGCCGTTGAGTGTTGTAGGCTTGTGGAAGCTGGATGCCCCATAGGCTATTGCGCTACGAATGCACTTGGTATAGACCTCTCTGGCCCTGATTAGCCCCGGGCCCCAGGTCTTGGCTGCTATCCTTGATAGGGCAAAGTCTTGGGTTCTTAGCTTGGTAGCTATGCTGGCTCCGTGGGCCTTCCAAGAAAGCCTCCAGTCGAGCCAGACCCCTAGGAACCGGGCTGAAGCCGTTGGTTTAACCATAGTATGGTCATGAGGGTGGCCCGGTTTGGCTAGTCGTAGTGGTTCAGACCACTGTTTACGGCCTTTGTTGAAGTGGATTAGCTCTGACTTGGCCCCATTGAATTCCATTCCGTAGGATCTAGCCCACTGTAGGCATGTAGCCCAGGCTTGTTCTAGTTGCCGGCAGTTGATATAGGGGTCCCTTCCAAAGGCTAGGATGTTGGTGTCGTCTGCGAATCCCACTAAGCTGACCAGAGGGTGCTTTTCCTTTAGTACTTTATATAGCGAGGCTATATATAGTATAAAGAGGATTGGTGATAGTGGTGATCCTTGTGGCACTCCAGCTCGGATGTCGATTTCCGGGGCAAGTTGGCCGTCGAATAGGAGTGTGGCCTTCCGGCCCGTTAGCCACGACCGTAGCCAACCTACAAGCCACTGCGGGAGCCCGAGGTCCCGGACTGTAGCTAGTAACCGGGTATGATTTACCCGGTCGAAGGCCCCTGTGAGATCTAACTACAATAGGGAAGCCGTAGCGCGTTGTCTCCAGGCCTCTTGGATCTGGGCTACCACAAGCCGAATGGCTAGGTCTGTTGACCTATATTCCCGGTTACCCATCTGCTCGTCGGGCAATAGGCCATAGGCTTCGGCTGCCTCTGTGATTCTTTTGGTAACCACTATTTCCACTACCTTGCCAATGGTAGGAAGGAGTGAAATAGGCCTATAGCCTCCGGGGGTAAGGTAGTCAGCTGGGGTTTTACCAGGCTTTGGGAGCACTATAGCTATAGCCTCCTTTAGCCTGGCCGGCACCCATTGTAGTTCGAGGCATCTCTGGGTAAGTAGTGCGAGGATCCTGTACAACGGCCTACCACAGGCCTTCAATAGGCCTATAGGGAGGTAGTCGTTACCTGGGGCCTTCCAGGGAGCAGCCCGGGCAATGGCATCTTGTATGTCCCTAGCACTAACCACCTGGCTTATTGGGATCTTCGGTTCCCACGGCTGGGAAAAGGTGGGATCTTGGATGTTGGAGAGGTCGGCTGGCGGGCTTGGAAAGAAACGGTTGGCCAGGGCCTGGGCCTTCTGGGTATGGGTGGTATAGCCGTTGATGGCCGGGAGCCTAGGGGGGCTAGTAGGCTGGAAGCTCTTGCAACGAGCCCACCATTCTAGGCTCCAAAGGAGTGATTCGTTGTGACTGGCTTCCTATAGAGTAGACCTCTAGGTCCTTGTTCTAGCCTGTCGTATAGCCCTTGAAAGGTCCCGGAGTCTCTGGTTTAGCTAGCCCTTGTTATAGGCTGTAGGTGCGGCTTTAGCCGTACGTTCGGCCTCCCGAGCCCCCTGGACCTTTTGTTGCACCTCGTTCGTCCACTAGGGGGCTTGAAATCCATTGTTAGGCTTCCTTCGGGGGGTGCTAGCGTTGGCAATCCTTGTAAGTTCTTCGACAAGCCAGTCGAATGCCTTATCTAGGCCTTCTACTGACTGGGTACGGCTCTGTAGGCCCTGCGGGCCAGGGTTATCTAGCCCGCAGAGGCCTGGTAAGAGGGCTGCTTCAGCCTTTACCCTCTTTTTATCCATCTTTTTCCAGGACCAACCAGGGGGGGGTGGGGCCGTAGGGGGGTGTTCGAGGTGGACCTCCACTACTTGGGGGTAGTGGTCGGAATCTCCCCTTTCTTTGATACCATAGTAGGAGCAGGCAAGGTCTGTAGAGGCCCAGATTAGGTCGATGGTTGATGGGCGTCCTCGTTGCCTACCTTGTGGTTCCCTAGTTATAGTACCCTTTGGGGTTACTAGCCTAAGGTCCCAAGAGGTGGCTAACTGGAGCAGGTTATTAGCTTCATTGTCGTAGCGTTCGTAGTAGTCCCAAGCTGGGTGTTGAAGGTTAAAGTCCCCCGTAAGTATTACTTGGCTGGAAGGTCGGGGGTATTCTTGTAAAAGAGTGGCTGGTATTGTCTTGATTGCTGGGGGGTTATAGACCGACCAGACCTCAACCCTCTGGCTATCTTCGTAGCCTGCAAATCGAACCCAGCACCAATGTTCGGCTGTCCCATAGTCCCACTGGCTAAGGTCAATCGTCTTTTTAACCAGTATAGCTGCCCGGCCACTAGGTTGATGGACTAGGTGGTACTGGCTGCGTCGGGGGCAGTAGGTGGACTTGGTTTGGTGGTTGATCCATGGGTCCTGTATGGCTAAGACGTCGAACTTAGCCTCCTCCACTAAGATTTCTAGTGGTTGTTTGATGCCTCCAGTATTCCATTGTAGTATGGTAACTACCATATAGTACTAGAGGGTTGGCTAGCTAGGTGATCGGTTGGTTGGCTGGCTAGGTGGTCGGTTGGCTGGCTAGTTGAGTTGTTTTAGTTTATAGCCTGGTCTTTAGCCTGGCTTGTAGCTTGGCTGGTAGGTTGGGAGATGGATAGTCGGAGCTGCTTAGGGTCTTGTTGAGCCTTTGTTGGCCTACCCCGTGGTCGCTTTCTAGAAGGGCCTGCATCTTGATCATCGTGGCTTAGAGAGAGGGAGCCAGGAATAGAGGTTGTGGTTGCAGTTGTAGGGTAGGTTGTTCGGGTAAAGTCGAGGTCGAAGGTTAGTTGTTGTGGCTTGGAAGTAGTCGATTCAAAGGTTCTAGGCCTATGTTGGTAGGCCTCCTTAGCTATAGCCCGTATCCGAAGCCGTTCTGGGCACTGCTTGTCCCTAGCCGAGTGGCGACCCCCGCAGGCTGAGCATCTAAACTGGCCTGTAGTATGGGTAGGGCATTGCTCTTCGCCTTCCTTACCACCAGGCTCATGGGTTCCAGTACCACAACGGGGGCAGAGGGGGTCCTTCCTACAGTAGCGGGCTATATGGCCCCACTTCCAGCACTTAAAGCACTGCGCTGGCCGTAGCGGAGCCCAGTATGGCTCGCAGTTAAAGAGCTGGGCCCGGTATAGGACCCCTAGGTCGCAAGCCTTTTTAGCCTCCTCCTGGCTAGTGAAGGCTATAACCACAGGGACCCTGGTGAAGTCTGGGTTGTGGGGGTATTGGAAGATGATCTTTTCCACGGCCCGTAGCCCAGCCTCTTCTTGAAAACTAGCCTCTGTAGCCTCCTGGAGGTCAGCTTTCCTTAGGCCCTTAACTACCACTCCGTAGATCCGTCGGGCTTCCTTTGCCTGGCTTCCAAAGGCCTGTTGAATCCAGTCGTGGTTGGTAGAGTGCCATTGCTTAGTATCCGGGTTGTTGAAGGTGACTACTATGTCTCCGCTAGGCAGTTTCCGAGCTGCAATAGCCCCTTGCCGGCTAGAGGCCCCGTTGACAGCTTGGATAATTTCTAAAGGGGTCCTCTTAGCTAGATCAGGTGATAGATGGCCCCCCCGAACAAGGATCTCGCAGTTCTGCTTGGCTGGGATAACCTTGGCTGGCTGGGCTATAGTGTCCTGTAGTGGTTCTCGGACTATATCAGCCCAGGTCCGGGTAGCTTGGGCCTGTCCTAGTTTGGTTTCCCTTAGTGCCGCTCGCACTTCTTCCGCTACTACCTTCCGTAGGGTAGGTAGGTTCAACGCCGTAGCTGTAGCTGCAGCCTTGGCCTGGGAGGGGGGTATGGTAGCTTGTTGGTAGGCTTGTTGGTAGGCTTGTTGAATCTCCGTTGCAAGTGCCCGAGCCTTGCCCTTATCTTTGGAGACTAGGGCAAGTAGGTCATTAACAAGCCTGGTGATATGCTCGTATGTATATAGGTGGCTGGTAGACTTGGTCGTTTTGGCCGGTTTGGATATAGTGGCTAGAGTCCTCTGGCTTGCATGCTGGCTTGTATATAGCCCTAGTTGGCTACTATTGCCCTGAGGGAGAAGGGGGAGGTTTTCTCCCATCTCAATATCGGGTGCCGGATCCGGAACGTCGTTCATTTTCGGCTCCTTCTGGTAGGATAGGGCCTGTGGGGGCCTGTAGGGTAGGTTGCGTGGGGAGTGTAGGGGATCGTTGGTAGGGTGGGCCGTTCGGGAATAGCCGGGTCCGGTAGGGTAGGTGGCCCGGGAATAACCGGTTGGCCCGTGCGCAGGGAAAAATTTGACTGACGGTCGGGTGTCTGCAACACAACGCCTGCTTCAACGACCTGTTGCAGCCGCGCGAGGACGGCCGCGCGGGTGCAACTAGTGCCGTTAGATAGAGCTCGTCGAGGCGGTTAGAATGACGTATATTTCGAAGGGTTTGCCGCTCTTGCGGGCAAGCAGCGATCAAGTGGAAAAGAAAGAAGTCTTTTCTCTAATTTTTACTTAATATATACTATTTTAAGTAGGTTAAAATACCTAAGAGTAAATAGCTAGAGGATATAAAATAAAGAGGTATATAAAGTATAGTAATATTGTTCGTCTTATAGTAAAGCTCAAAGTTAGTTAAATAATAGCTAATATAACTATTGAAAATAAAGAGATAATAAACCCTAACTATTTAAGCTTTAATATGTTTATTAAAATATTAGATCTATTTTAGGCCTTTTTTATTAGTTATCTAATTATTTCAAAAAGTTATAATAATCTAGTCCTTAGATAATGACGTATATGATAAGCGAGTGACCCAGACAAGCGAATGACCCACTCTCCACTACCCTATGTACATTATCCTCAATTATAAAACAACAGAACTATCAACTAATGTGACGGTGGGGCATAAACCTAACCCACTCGGCTATGCACACCTTCCGAAAAGGATGTCGGAATCGCAAGTCCCTCGGACTTGCGACTCGGTGGATTATATTCTCCCTGACGGCAAGCACCCCGCAGGCCGCACTTGCCGTCACAACCAACTACAATCACATCAGAAACGGCTGAATCAGATGCTTCTGCAACCTCCTGGCAAGTGCGGGCATTATGACCAGGCTTGCCGCATACACCATAGCACCGAACCTTCGTACGAGCCCCCCTATACCACCACCATCCGGCTGCATTTCTTATGCCACCTCCATAACCATAGGCTTTTGGTCTAGTAGATCCTTTGCATCTTCCACTGCAAGTGATCCTCTAAGCTATATATGCGTTCTTTTGGCTCTTCGGCGCTTGCTTAGCGCCTCGTTGGCCTTGCGGAGCGAAGCATTCTCTGCCTATAGGAGAGCCACCTGGTGCATTATAGCCATTGTACTCTTTATCAGCTGGTCTATAGCAGCCAACATCGAAGTCGGGGAGCTATTTTAGTGGGTAGCAATACAAGTCTTAATAAGCGTTGACTATAAGTTAGCTTCTTAGGTATTGTACGGTATCTAGAAGACCTAAGATTGTATAGTGCCCGGCCGTGAGGTTAGGGGTGTTGGTGTACGAAGCTTGATATCTAGCTTCGAAAGCACCCTCTCTAGATCGTATGGCATAAGGCCAGCCATTATAAACCTACTCTATATATTCCTCTTAGCAATAGAGGCAAAGAAGGCTGTGCGAAAGGTATAAAGGAACTCGAGCTTGCTTATGTGGTTGATATATGTGCACATTAAGTCCTCGATCTAGCGACCGTACGCCTGCTTCAACGGCCTAAAGCAGCCAATATCGAGCGGCTAGACGAGGTAGGAGGAATGTAGAGGCATGCAGAGCGTAATAATATTGTTCTACTGGCAGTAGAGCTCGAACTCGGTCGAGTGGTGGCTTTCGTGGCCATCGAGGATTAACAACTAGTATTTACCCTGTATATAGAGTGCTGTATAGTAGTCGAAGTGCTTAATCTAATCTAGGCCTACTGCGTTGGTAGTCTAGCTATTCTTAGCGGTTGTAATACGCCAGTCGGCCAGGAGGTTGTACTCAGTATACTAGGTGGCAAGGTGGTATTGTACGGCCAAGATAATGAACAAAGGGATAGCTCAGCCGAGAGCATTGACTCCCTGGATTACTATTACCTACTTGCAATTGCCAGGCTAGGCCAGCTTAGCCTTGCTCCGGCCATCTGAGGTTGTAACAACTATACCTACAAAGATAATGCCCATTATAAACCCGGTCTTGTCAAAGTTAAAGATATCGTCATCTATGATACTATATTTGGCCTTAGTGTTCTATATAAGCCTAAACTACTCGCGAATAATGTCTAGATCTTTATATCTACCCCTCTGGTAGTTATATATATATATATATATTATATAGAGCTCTGGCCGGCGTTTGACGAAGTTGTAAGCCCAGCGTTTGCCAACGGAGGGCGCATGTGACGGTGGAACGCACCGACATGATGATGATATCATTTGCATGTATAATGATTCATCATACCAAGTGATGATTCATTATGCATGTTCCATTACATCATGCATGCAAGCTCAGACCTACTCGCATCCTGTATTTAAAGCCTACCTTGCAGTCTCGAGGATTTCTTTCCTCCTGCAAGTTCAATATTCTTGCAATGCAGTCAGTTTACCACCAGAGGCTTGACCCTGGCCTTGAACGACGGCCCTCGTGGCAGCGCATCGCATTTATATAGTAGTTGGTTGGCCATATCTTCTACAGTATATAACCTAGGCGGGAATGCATATATCGATAGCTTATTGATATATTGAACTATCGCCTTCTCTTCTAGATCTATAAGCCTATGCGAGTTGGCTAGAAGATTATATCGTATAGGCTTGCCGGCCCGTCGGAGCTCCAAGGTCCTACGGTCGACCCTATAGATCTTAGCTACGGCTCGTTCGCTTAGATTCTTGTCGTTTTGAAGAGTTTGGAGAGCTAATATTATCTGGCCTTCTTTTGAAGTAGAGGGTATTTTGGATAGTAGAGGAAATTGTATTGTTGAGTGCAAAGATGTCGCGTCGTATAGGAAGTGGATCACTCGCTTGTCAAGGTCACTCGCTGATAATATACGTTAGGCTATTTTTATATTAAAAGAAAAGGTAATATTTGCCTTTAATAATAATAATAATAGGATTACCTAGTTAATAGTTTTAACATCTTAGATTATTATTATCTATTTATAATTATTAGGCTATTTTGATTTTACCCTTCTATATTATTTAGAGCTTATAATAACTATTACAATCGAAATAATATCTCTCTAAAACCTAGTTTTATTAAAGTTATAGATATCTGCCACCCAAATACTGTATTTATAATTATATTTTATATGAGTATAAACCAAGTATAAATAATCTTTAGATCTTTATCTTAGGCCCTCTGGTAGTTATACTTCTGATTAAAACATATAATAAGCTTTAGGTACTATTTAATAAAGGTTAAAGCCCAATATATTTTCATATATCTCGTATTATATCTAACAAATAGTCGATTAGCTATATTTTCTATACTGAACAAGCAGGGAGGAAATCCTTTAGCGTCTAGGTCGAGGATATGTTAAACCATAATAGATTCCTCTAAATTGGTCAATTTCTAAGAGTTGGCTTAAATATCGCGTCGTGACTGCTAACTATATCGACGGCGGCTTACCTTTATTGAGTCTATAGAAAAGATCTGAGCTATAGCTCTGAGATTTAATTTAGGATCATTCTTAAGAGCCTGGAGGGCCAAGATAATTTGGCTTCCGTTATTTTTCTAAGGCATGTTAGGTTATAGAGAAAGTGGGTGTAGAAGTGAAATATCGCATTGGTATAGTTTAGTGTAACGTTTGTATATATATAACTTCTGCTATACACCTATATTAGCTTATTATTTAGGGCTTTAAATAATATACCATTTCAATAGCAAATGCCCTAGAAACTATATATAAGTAGTAAGGTATAGTTTATTTAGGATGAGTTATATTCTTATACCGATCGGATCGCTGCTATTAAACTATATCCCTATGATGGTAGAGTGTAGTTTACAGGGTCAAGCCGGCTATATGTGTTACTCAACTCCATGAAACTAAGCCTGAGGAAGTTCTAGGTGGCCGACCTAAAATTACAAGATATTTTCTAATTTGTGGGTTATATGACTTGTGCCCTACTTAGGCCGTTCTAGCATATTATTATAGCTATAATAGTCTTTTAGTTATTTATTGGTATCTATCTTAATATATTACTATAGTTTTATAGGTATAGGCAATAGCTATAATAGTCTCGGGGTATTGTCTTGGGGGTGTTTCGAGGATCTATAGAGTATTTAGTTCTCGATAAACTAATTGATATAACTACCTATTTATAGCTACTAGTATTACATTACAATAATTTTCTAGGTCTTGTTCCTTCCTAGGTATACTATAGTTAGGTGGGTATAGGCTTTCTTAATACCTTAGGTTTATAGTTATTTAACTGCTAGAACTATTAGCATTTCATTATAAAGCAGGAGCCTATTACTGAGTATAATATAGTCTCTATATATTCTTCTATATTTTCATACCATAATATAGTATTTTAGTTATAATATAATAAATCGTTTATTAGCTATATACCTAAGCCTAATAGAGATATAATATCTTCGTCTAATAGAGCTAGTTCCTTGCTTAGTTCCTCCCTATAATCTTATACCTTTATTATAGTCACCGGTATAAATAGCTATATTATGTACTATGTATTATTCTTAGCCTTCTTGGTTATAATATCTTCTATCTTTTTAGATAAGGTATTAGTAGCTATATTAGCCTTTTCTAGACGGTAGGTATTATAGAAGTAATATTATAATATTAGTTCCGCCTAGCCGGCCTAGTAAATGTTTAAGAGTCGCTTAGTGCTAAAATACTTTAACGCTTTATAATCTATGATAATTAGAAAGGATACCTTTATTTATAGGCCGATAAGTTCGGCCCTCTAGTATTATAGGGCTCGAATTATAGCTAGAAGCTCTGTATTATGGATATAGTAATTTAGCTCTGCTCTATGTATCGACTGTAAAGAGAAGGTAATAGGGTGCTTTTCTTTATATTTTTATTATTATAATAGTATACTAGCGATAACTCCCTTTAAGGCATTAGTTTTAAGGTATATAAATAGTCTATATAAGAAGTTGTGACGAAACCATAGGCAGTCCTGCCTCTGAAACGGTTCGCCGGTCGAAGGTATCCGCTGGTCGGACTATAGGTCTCGGTGAAGCCAAAGGGTTCATAACACTGCAAGTGGCAATGTCTGTACAATAGGTAAAGGCTACTGCTTGAAATATTGCTTACTAAGGAAGCTAACTATCTGAATAAGTAACAGAACGGTAGAACAATATACGGCTTCCTCCCCTAGGTATTCCCGTACCTAGATCTCTGGAACATTTGGAACAATTATTCTTGGCATTGTTCTCAATCTTCCCAATCCTTATTGGTTCTCCCTGGCCTATAATGATTGGACGCGGGCACCGTCCGTTGACCATGTAGGTCGGCCCCTACCGGCCTTTGCTGGTTAATTTATAACAAAAGTATACTAATACTAAGGTGTTTAATAGCTAGTCTTTAGCTCCTTAAAGGCTTATTAGCATTCTAAGGTCTAGTTAAACGGGATATCTTTATAGGTTAATGCTATAAGGGGATATATAATATATCTATATTTATATAAAACAGTGGCCGAATGGAATACCCGAGCTAAGGCCTTGGGCCCACCATTGGCTAAGACCCAGGAAGACTGGGCACTATTAAGAGCCTGGGAGGCTAGGTGGAATACCCGAGTCCAGGGACAGCCAACTAGGCTAGCCGACGAAGGCCTACCAACAGTCCTCTTCACGAACCAGAGCCTACAGAAACACCAAGGCCTTACAAAGGCTAAGAGCTCCCTACTAGTACAGGCTCGTACAGGGGCTATAGGCCTACGGGACTTCCTTTTCAAACAAAAGGCCCGTAACCAGCCTACCCCCTATTGCGAATGCGGGGAAGCCAGAGAGACAGTAGAGCATCTTGTGATTTGGTGCTCTATACCACCTATACCAAGAACTTGGCCTAGGCAACTAATACGCACCCACCGGGATCTTAGCCTTGTTTTACAGGGCCTAGGCTACCGGAACCGAAGACTTCTGAAGAAGGTACTGGGTTGGCTAATGGACTTGGGCCGGCT